AAGTGGCGGGGTTATTTCTGTCAAGGGCCGAGGCCGGGCATTAGCCGTGTCCTCTCCCTGGCACTTCTGATGAGCAGACAGAAGAAATCCTCCATTTTCTCGCAGCACTGCACTGAAACATTTAGCTATTCAGCCAGGAGGCAAAGTGCGTTTAATGAGACCTGCCTTGCCATCTCCATCTTGTAACTCCCAATTGAGGGGACAATGAAATTTCATTGGCCCGTACTGTGTAATCCCCGGCTCCCTTAATGTAATTGGAAATCAAAGAGTCCCCTTTAGACTGTCCCTTTATTACTCAAAGCAGCTGGATGGAGGTTTTTTGTATCGGTTATTGGTCTCCAACAGGCTTAAGATGTGGGCCATTTATTGTGGGAAACCAATAAAGTTTCTTTATGATGGAGCCAGGTAGTCTTACATGTGTCTAGGTGCGTTTAGCCCTGAGTTTTATCAGCATTGTAACACTTGTATGCTCCAGGCCAGTTACTATTATTGCGGGATTAATTGGTGCTCGATGGTCAAATCCCATGGGTTATTGTCTGCATCGGGTATAAATTGAGTTTGGTCCCTTAGCATACCGTAAGATCTTAAATTCCCATAGGGTGCCAGCAGGTCATGCTAGCTTGTAAGGAAGGAGGCTAAGTAATGTTCTTTAGATTTTTGTAAAAATATGACCCATTTTTCGTATATGCAGTATAAACGTATATTTGGCTATATATAGCTTGGCTTCTAAAATGTTGTATTTAAATATGTCTGCACACTGGGGTTCCTAAACAATCTTGCATGAACTGGGTATGAACGGAAAGCTGAGGCATGTGATGATGTTAGCTCCCGTAGTACACACTTTATTATTGTGAGGAAATGCTTCAAAACTTGACCTTGCTGTTTAAAGTGAATGACTGACTAAAGGAATTCAGATGTATGGTTTTCAGCAGTATATTGACAACACATAGTTGTCTCTTCACCATTCAATTGATGCAACCTGCACATTTTCGAAGTCGAAATCTCCAAATGTCAAACGTTTTGGATAAATAATATTGTGCCAAGTGATCAAACGTTGTTACATTTTGCACCATGTTTTGTAGCAAATGATCACCCCCAAAATCGCTGAAACGTCTTAATACTCGGACATTATGGAGCATGAGAAATTGAGTGGCCATTATATACTTTTATATATCCTTCCCTTTTAACATTTTAATTGGTGCCTTACCAAAGAAAAAGTTTTACATTTGACAATCTTTTTCTATCTTTTACCAACAAAAACATATTTATTTACTCAACAATTCTCCACCCTTTCTAAGCCCCGCCCCCACGGCTCTCCCCTCCCGCTCCAGCTGTCGCAACGCCTCACCAGTTATTAAGACACAATTACAATCTATTTAGGAGGCATCACTGTAAGGACCAGTGATGTTGCAGCTCATTTCTACCAAATTAACTTGTGCACACACACACACACACACACACACACACACACACACACACACACACACACACACACACACACACACACACACACACACACACACACACACACACACACACACACACACAGTGTTGGGATTTGATTAATTGGGACACCATTGATTGAAATGTTGGTTGTTTTCTGTAAAAATAGCTGTGTGGCGCTCCGATAGCCTTTGTTGGTCTCTCGGGCTGTTTTTAAATGGCACATGGAAAATGTCATGTGTATGAATCTATTAGTGCTTGCAGATAATTAAGTGAGTGAAAAATGAGGGAAAACTTATGAAGCAGCTGAATTTACAGCGTTTGTGTGGAAATATTTAGATTTACGACCATTTACAGCAATGAAATTTACATTTTTATCCCAAGCAATCATGCATTTTTATGCCAATCGTCAATGTCAGACTCAATTTAGCTCACTATAACATCGTAACGTGTGTTTTATTGTTTAGTGAGTGAACCTTTATATACCTGAACATGGCTGCCCTCCCCCTCTGAGGCTTCACTCCCCTATACGAGACATGATGCACCTTTAATGTGTCGCGGCGAATTGAGAACAGCAGGGTGGGAGGTAGACTGCACACTGGGAGCCCACAAGGCACGCCAAGATCAAGCACCAGAGAGAAAGGAGACATTCCCCTGCATACATGAATATCATTCCAGCGAGGGAGGTAGAAGAACAAAGCCCACTGAAGTTAATGACTTTCTGTATCTTCAAGAGAGCGCTGCCTCTCTTCTGCCCTTTTGCAGTCCCCAGGTTCGAAAGAAGAAAAACAAGTAGCTGTGGCAGGAGATAAGAACTCTTATTGGCAGCATGTTTTTCCTATCATTATGTCCTGGTTACGGTATATTAAAGCACCTTTATTTTCATATTAACAATGGCTTAAGGCCACATGTCAATTTTTTACATTCAGCGCTTCTATTGATGTTTTTGAATGAAGATACGTTTTTATGTTGTAAAAAAAAAGGTTTTTAAAAGACCTAACACCGACAAATATAGGTTGCCGCACAATATTTTGGTAAGTGAAACCATTTTGGAAGTGATGACATCAATCTTTTTAGTCAATCTCTCTAATAATTTACAACTATTCAACGCTCTGGATTTATTGGACATGTTTGGATAACACACGTCAAAAACAATCCCACGCAGATAACTGGAATCTAATTAGTTACCTAATCTTTATGTGCAACTATGGAGAAGATACTGCTTTAGACACACTGAAAAGACATGTCAAAAATAAATAAACTGCGCATATATTATTCCAATGAAAATGTAATGGATGAAGCTGGTATTTGTTCAGTACATTCCCATAAATAATAAAGTAGGGGAGTGGATCGCTCACAAGGATCAAGCCTGAAAATAAATCTGCAGTTCTTTAGCTTATAAGGAGCCAAATAGCATAGTGTAGTTATTTAACCACATGGTAAAATACTGTATTGGTTCCTTGTCATTTTGGCTGCAGAAAACGAAGAAAATAAATATAAGAGCGTTTAAGCTAGCAGCTTAAGAGGCTGATCTTGATCACAAACTCTGTAGGGTTCATCCTGTGGGGACCATGAGTATCCGTACTGCTGTCGCTGGCCCATACTGAAGCTTCCATTAGTTGATATCCCATCTGCATCTCACAGGAAGAAATGACCAGACGCTGTACTGCGAGGCGCCTGAGAAATGATCACTGTTCTGAATAATGACGACATTTGAACCATACATTAAATCAAATGTAACTTCTAATCTTTCTCTAAATGATGTGCAGTAAAACCACTGTCCTCAAGGAGTTTGTTCTCATTCTGAACATGTTCCTCCTTTGCTTAATTTCCACGCTCAAGGTGCCCTTGTGCACGGCACTTCGGTAACAGCAGTTCCCACAGAGCTAAATGTGTGTTAAAGCGTGTTGTGTATGTATGCGGGCAGAAAAACAAACCTGGACAAATATGGGGTCAAGAGAGCAATCATCATCATTGCCACTAACATTATGGCACTTCAATATTTCTCTGCTTTTCTGCCAAACACTCAGAACAAGCTAATTAAATCACTGCTTTCATCCTTCTTCCTTTCACGTCAGTCACATCAGGGCCATGCATAATCACACGTGTTTTAGGGGCTGTCATTTCCTCTACATGTTAAACATTTCTCTCCATTCGGCACTGATGCTAATCACTAATGTGGCGCTGTTTTTTCTGACTGTCGCACATGTCCAGGACACACATGTTTTAAAACGTGTCAACGGTGGTTGTGTGTGGCAGATTTATTGAAGTTTGTATGAGATGTTATGCAGGGAAAAAGTGCACCGCGCAGACACACAGGTTGTAGGAAACACTGATACACACATTTCCCCGGGGCTATCATTTTCCCAGGGGTCTGTTTGTAAGAGCAGAGCAAGGGGGGAAAAAAAAAAGTGTGTGTGTGTGTGTGTGTGTGTGTGTGTGTGTGTGTGTGTGTGTGTGTGTGTGTGTGTGTGTGTGTGTGTGTGTGTGTGTGTGTGTGTGTGTGTGTGTGTGTGTGTGTGTGTGTGTGTGTGTGTGTGTGTGTGTGTGTGTGTGGTGTGTGTGTGTGTGTGTGTGTGTGTGTGTGTGTGTGTGTGTGTGTGTGTGTGTGTGTGTGTGTGTGTGTGTGTGTGTGTGTGTGTGTGTGTGTGTGTGTGTGTGTGTGTGTGTGTGTGTGTGTGTGTGTTGTGTGTGTGTGTGTGTGTGTGTGTGTGTTTGTGTGTGTGTGTGTGTGTGTGTGTGTGTGTGTGTGTGTGTGTGTGTGTGTGTGTGTGTGTGTGTGTGTGTGTGTGTGTGTGTGTGTGTGTGTGTGTGTGTTGCCTCTGTTTTGCTCCTGTTGTGCACAGCGTGTGTGTGTGATTAAGCCAAGATGTAATGAATAGGGACAGTTCCCTGTTGGTTGGCCATGGAGGGCTTTTTTCCAGCTGAGAGAGCCATTAACCTGTTTGTTGGATTGACTGAGAGATTGCACAATGTGACCCGAACAAAACAGACTTTTGGCTTCCGACAGTGTTTTCATATGTAGCAGTGACTCATAACTATTTGACAGGTTAAACATGTAGGCATTTATTTGCAGGGATGAGGAGTAACTGAGTACATTTACTCAAGTACAATTTCCTGCTCCTTTGTGCTTACTCTTAGTTAGTTTAGTTTACTTTGAAGATTCATATCAATACAATGTCTTTTTTAAGGGAGACCCTTCCAAGACAGGCAGCAACACAAACAAAAACACATAGTTGTAGAAAAAGCGCACAAAAAGAGACAAATATTTAAATGAACCAAAAGTCTTTATGCAACATATTAAAACGTTGGTATGAGCATTTGGGACAGAAGTCCTGAGAATCATCTTTAAAAGTTAAAAAAACAAGTTAACAGAGTACTCTTGCAGAGTGAAATCACCACAATTATTCTTCATTACTCCTTCATTCACCACTTTTAGTTTGTGGCTAAATAACAGAACTTGTACTCCTCCACAGTGCTTCCTGTTGTGTCAGTCAAGGTGTTGTTGTGTCTGCTTTCTGTGAAAAATGACAGCGTTTTGTGTTTGTGTTCCTCAGACCAGTGCGGTGCTGTGTTCAGGAGGCTGCGCCCTGCTGGCCGTCAGCTCCCTGTTGGCCATCATCACCATGTTCCTGCCCAGCGGAGGATGTGAGCGGAGGATCTGCACCCTGGCCGGATACATGCAGATGGCTTCAGGTTGGTGCAGATGTGAACACACACATAGTTACATGTCCAAAATACATGCTTTTCAACGACTGTGCCGTGGCAAACCAGTGTGCAATGAGAGATCAGAAAGTGTGTTGTGGTAAATCAGGGGTGGGGAACCTTTTTCAACATCCTCCGAGGGCCGTACAAATTATTGACCTCTGCTTAAAAATACTAAAATCACAGCCCATTCATTTCGCCTTTCTTTCATGCTGTGCAAAGAAAAAGCAACCTCTCAATCCAGATATCTTACCATGACTCGCACATGCATGCATGTGCACGGTTGTGGCATGACCACCAAAACAGAAAGATATGGACATGTATTAATTCATGTGGACATGATTTAAGTGGGGGGGGGGGGGGGACCTAACCTCCTCTAGGGGGGGTCCCGGGAAGATTTTTTTTTAAATGTTGAAGTTAAAAGCATCAATCTGGTGCACTTTGAGAGCAACATTAAGAGATCTATGGATACATTTCTCAACATCCATATGAAACAGAACTGTAAACAGATTTATTTTTCTTTATGGATATTTTACAAATCACTCCCCTTTCAAACTGTATTCTTGTTTATTAATAACAACTTTTTTTTACTGTCATATAATATTTTATACCTGTTTACTTTATTCTCTTGTGTTTTTATAACTATAATGATCATATAAAGATGTGCCTTTACCTCACTGGTTGGAGAAAAAGCTTCTTATATTCGTTAGCATAGCTAGCTAACCAGATGCTAATAACAACAAAGTTATTGACAGTATGATCAGTATGACAGATGAACAGATCGCCACTGGGCTTTCAACTAAAGACACAGCCACGCAAAAACTGCGGCATGTGTACGGCTCCTTATGGGTCCTGCAATTTTTGGAAGTGCCGGAGCGACGTTCCGGTGCTCTCCGTCAGAACTGCACCCCTGTCAGACGAGACATATACCACGTGATGACACGTTAGGCTCGTGTTGTGTTCAAGGACCCTGACCTTGGCCAGGAAAAACAGGCACTCGCTTGTTTAATTATTTTGCGGTCTAGAGTTCTTTAATTGTTTTCTTTTTTGCGTGTGTTTATAAATTACCTCGAGGGCCGTATCAAATGGTCTCGCGGGCCGTATATGGAAAATGTACTGTGACTGAAAAACAGTTGAAAAACGCTGCATTAACCAACCTAGCTTTAGGTCCTGCTTCTGTGTATAAAATGTATTCGAGTATGTTGTACTCTCAAGTCCTTCACTATCCAATCTTTCACCCATAAGCACTGATAGCACTGTCTATTATCAGAATTATATAAAAAAAGCTGACTCTGTTGCCCATCAGTCAAAAAGAAAAGAAAAACCCCAATGGAAAGAACTCGAGGACAGCTGCTGCTAGGCAACCAGACTCTGCATAGCACTTGAAGGGGTGAACGAGCGAAGGGAAGGAGGGGGAAGGATTTAAAGCCTGCTGTAAAAAACACAATTAGGCCTCCTTAACACAGGAGGCCTATGGCTTATCAGGCCGACACTTTCACTCAAACAGAGGAGCAGTCTCGTAAACAAAGCGCCGTCTTGTCAGCGATTGCGCTTAAAAAAAAACCTGTAATACGGCACGGCTCATGTCTCGTCTCAGCACCGGCCTTCAAATTCACATTGTGCAGCAGACCATTTTAATAGCGGTTGGTACAAGTTTTTTTTTGTGTGCTTTAGTTAGAGCAGCATATCTTCTCGTACGTAAATAATCCTAGGAAATTTTGGAAAGCCATACAATCGATATCCACCGGTGAGATCCGTAATGAGCTACCTCCTTGCCTTACCACAGCATCTGGCACTATATCGGACAGGGCCACCATGTTAAATTGCTTTAATAAGAATTTTGTGTCCTGTGGCTCTCTGTTTGATTCTGTCACTAACTCTGCTTATGTGAACACCTCAATCCGTGACTCTGAACAATGTGGTCTGGAAAACCCTTTTAGTTTTACTCCGTTTACTGTTAATGTTGTTCATGAAGCCTTATCTAAGTTAGATCCTAAGAAACCGGCTGGCCCGGACAACGTAGAACCTTTCTTTTTAAAGATAGCTGCAGATTTTATTGCTCCACCTCTCACTACTCTTTTTAACCTCTCCCGGCCTCAGCACAAACACAATTCCAAAAGTATGGAAGTCAGCGTATGTCTTGCCTTTGCTAAAAGGAGGGGAGGCCACTTTATTAAATAACTATAGGCCAATCTCTAAATTGTCAGTTCTGGCTAAGGTTCTTGAACGCCTAGTGAGTGAACAGGTAAAGGAGTTTTTATGTAAAAATAATATCCTGTCTAAACATCAGTCAGGCTTCAGAAAGCAACATAGCACCATCACTGCCACAATGAAAGTGGTGAATGACATTACAAGTATTTTAGATAAAAAGCAGAGTTGTGCAGCTCTATTTATTGACCTTTCCAAAGCGTTTGATACCGTCGATCATCGCATCCTGAAGCAGAGGCTGGCCAGTATTGGCATATCCAGCCATGCAGTGGGGTGGTTTGTGAACTACCTCTCTGAAAGGTCCCAATGTGTTCACTTTGATGGGCTCACTTCTGAGTGGTTAAACATTACTAATGGTGTTCCTCAAGGTTCTGTTTTAGGTCCACTTTTATTCTCCATCTATATCAACAGTTTAGGTCAAAATATGGATGAAGCTACTTTACATTTTTATGCGGATGATACCGTGATGTATAGTGCATGTCCCTCCATTAAGGAGGCTATTGTTAAATTACAGGCTGTTTTTAATATTATCCAGACTCAGCTCTCTGAGCTTAAGCTTCTTTTAAATGTTGATAAAACCAAGGTAATGCTATTTTCAAAAGCTAAAAAGACACCAGAGACTGTTTTGGATATTGTTACTATGCAAGGACAAGTACTCGAAGTGGTTACCTGTTATAAATACCTAGGTATCTGGCTTGATGATTGTCTTACTTTTAAACTTCAGGTCATTAATCTGCTTAAAAAGCTGAGGATTAGACTAGGTTTCTTTTTCAGAAACAAGTCCTGTTTCTCACTTGAGGCCAGGAAAAGTCTCTGTGACCTTTTTACCTGTGCTGGACTATGGTGATCTGATCTATATGAATGCACCTGCCCATTACCTGAACAAGTTAGATGCCGCCTATCACAGTGCTCTGAGATTTGTTACTAACTGTAAAGCACTAACCCATCACTGTACCCTGTATGCCAGGGCTGGTCTGCCTTCACTTACTGTACGGAGGCTCAGTCATTGGTACATGTTCATCTACAAAGCCATGTTGGGTAAACTCCCAATTTATATATGCTCTTTGATCTCACAGAGAGTGGCAAGTAGCTATTGCCTGAGATCCCAGGATGTGTTTTTATTACATGTGCCAAGTGCTAGGACTGTTTTAGGTACTAAAGCATTTATGTGCGCTGCTCCTCTAGCTTGGAACACGATGCAAAAACAATTGAAACTGAGCATTATGGTTCCCTTGCATCATTTTAAAGCTCGCCTGGATGAAATGTTAATTGATACCTGTCATTGTGAATAGGTTGCTAATTTATACCCCTGTAATTATGTTGTATGATGTCCTTTTTGTTTTCTGTTGTTTTTATGTGTAACCAAGGTCTCCCTTGAAAAAGAGATCGTTGATCTCAATGGGATTTTCACCTGGTTAAATAAAGGCTACAAACAAACAAAAACGTGTTGCAGCGTAATGTGGTTTATTTTCTCGACATTCCGGCCATTGTTTTTACTTGTTTTGTGTGTTTGAATTATTGCTCGGCGATATGGAGTATGTCAAGTATTAAGATATTATTACCAAATACCCTCGTATTGATCTAGGACAATGTTGTAGGTTTGATCATTGGTGCTTCCACAGAATACTTACTGTTACTGAATATTTTGATCATTAATGCAGAAGTAATGACCTAATCGACACAATATTATTGTGTTTCCCAAATGTAGGACCATGTATAGTTTTATGTCACAATATCGATTAAATATTGATATATTGTCCAGCCTGAGTTTGTATTAATCCAATTTATTCTTCTGTTCAACTTTAATTGTAATGTTTTCCCTCCTCCTGCATTTGTTTAGTTTCAGCAGCATCCATCCTTGAGAATATTGAGTAGCTAATTTTAATCCGTGCCTGTAGCATTTAATTAAGCGTATTTAGAGGCTGAATTAATTGGGCGGGTTACATCTTTACTGACAAAACAGGAACTTTAGCCGGGCGCGTTTAATGGCATGTTTTAGGGGCTTGTTGGTTACAGCCGGACTCTGATACTTTTCTATCGGACTCCAGATTCAGATCAATGTCTCTTTGGGAAGCATGATAAGACCTCTTCCCCTAAAGCAAGAGACTTTTGTAGATGTTTGTGTGTGTTATCCCGTTCTGTGTGTTTTTCACAGCGACAGACTTTACAAAGTAACAATGCGAAGCAACGAGCCTTTGTTTGGTTTCCAGGTCGACTCTTGTCTGGATAGAAAGAGTTTTCACACAGAGCCCACAAAGCCCCGAGGAGGGCACATCACAAGAGTGTTTGTTTTCCCAGCTCTGCAAGTGTGTGCGTTTGTGAGTGCGTGTTGAGTGCTACCAAAGAGTGCTGATAAACTGAAACAAGTAGATTAAGAAGAATGGTTTTCTTTGTGCCGTCTGTGTTGTATTCGAAGGTGTGTGTATGTGTGTGGTTTCTAGCAGCCTGGAAGAAATGAACTGCTGATGAGATGCTTGTCAACTTCTTCTTTGCAGATTCACGCCGGTTTTGATCCCCATGTTTTATTTTCTTTACAGTATCTGACAGGCAAACAGATGTCAGTGTGTGTGATGGTTTGTTTCGCTACTTATGACAACTGAAAGTTATTATGAGGACAAAACTAAAAAGAGAAATCCTACAAAGTGAGGACATTTTGCTGATCATATCTGCTTTCAGAGTTCGGGATATGTTTCAAAAATGTTTAATGGACGGTATGCTTGGACCCGGAATGCCCAGTCTTATTTGCTATAAAGTGGACACGCACATGTGGACAGCTTGTAGAA